GGCCCAAAGGACTCTAAGCGAACATTACATGAGGACAACGATAACGACGATGATGACGACGATGACAATGACGCTGATGATGATGATAATAATAATGTACATTTATACAGTGCCACTACTGTAAAGATATTCAAATTAGTGCTTTACATAAAATGGACTAACATACTAAAACTAAAACTAACATATAAAAATGTGTTAAAATAAGTAATATAAAAATGTGCTAAGAAGATAAAACTGGCAAGTAAACTAAGATAAAACTGTATTGTTATCAGTTTTAATTGTTCCAGCTTTCTCCAGTCACCCTTTCACTAACATCCCACAACTTCTTTGCCAAACCAAGATCTCTGGCAAGTGGATTGCACTCCTTGACTCGGCAATCACTGTAGTAAAGCCCTGAGACACCTTCCAGCTCTTCTGCAACTGAACAGTAGATTGTTGTCTGTGCTCCCTGCTTGGTATCTTTCATGACAAGGAACGACAACAGCTGAAATAGAGGTTTTGTATAAGGTTTGTTCAAAATGCTCCAGTTTCGCCAGATGTCGGACTTTACACCACCAGGATGAAGGGCATATACTGTTACTCCAGTACCTGAAGCAACAGAATTAAGACAATGTAATATTAATGATTAGCATGCTGGACCACGGACTAAGTATTTGTAGTCTAGGTTCAAACCTTAAAAGTTTGCATACAAGCCAAGTGGCTCATCAAGCTGGAGCTTATCCCAGTTTCAGTAACATGAAGTGACTAGGAGCATTGCTACACCCCCTTGGATGGGATGCTAGTCCATCACAGGGTTACCCCCAGCATTAAATTCGCTTGTACCCATTATTTATACACCTGGGTGGAGAGTAAAGTGTTTTACCCAAAGTAAAGTTTTAATGATTAATTTTAATGAGCCCAATTAAATTATTATTGTTATCATTGTTATCATTGCTATTATTGTTATAATTGTTATTACTATTATAATTATTACTATTATTATAGTCTTGATAGTAGTACTATTATTAGGGTCTTGATAGTAGCAGACAAGACAAGAATTTTAAGAAAACGACAAAACATTTGAGTTTACAAAACATGTTTTGACAGGAACTCCTGTCATCCTCAGTTAATCCAAACTACAAACCGATGGAAGCTGAACTTATATGTGATAGGGCCTCTCACATTTTCATAGTATGCAAAATTCTGAACATTGTCATGCCTTGTGTTCAGCAGATTGTTTCAGTCCATGTTTTGGATGACGCCTCCACCAGTTTTCAACTTAAGATAAAACAGGCTATTCATATTCAGAGGGAACAACCCTCTTGGAATCAGCAATTACACCATGTTAATGTAAAATTATCTGTTCAATTCTCACACTTTCACTCTTTGCTTCATTCTGTTGTTACTATCCATCACAATTAGCATTTTCTACTTATTATAAATTCCGCTTCCATCGCTTTGCACTTGGATTAACTAAGGATGACAGAAGTTCCTGTCGAAACATGCTTTGTAACCTCAAACGTTTTGTCGTTTTCTTAAAATTATTATTATTATTATTACTATTATTATCATTATTACTATTATTATAATTATATTATTATTATCATTACTTTTATTATTATTATTATTATTATTATTATTGTATGGCAATGTAGTCTTGAGGTAAATCAGATTTCACTGGCACACAGACCACTTCCATAGAAAATTCAAGGCCTGTGTGCCTTACAATAAACTACTTACTAACCTAGCTTGCTCAAACCTTTCTAGGGAATATTGGCACTTGGTCATTTTTGTTCAGACCCCGGGCCATAACTTCAGAGTATGGCCCTCACCCTTAGTTAGTAAGAGGTAATGTATTATTTAAAATTAATAATTTTCAAAAAAATTAAAGATCTCTGATAAGTACATAGCCCACTTTCATAAATGGCGGCCAATTATAAATTCTTTTGCAAGTATTAAAATTAGCCTTACTAACGTCATTTTGAAGTTGGTAATTCAAAAGAATGTTTACTCTGAAATGAGGTTAGTAAGGTTAATTTAAATGAAAAGGGTCTATTATGTTCACTGAAATATGGTAGTCAAAACTGAGGTGTTTTGCAAGGCATCAGAATAATTTTTACTATACCTCATCAAATGTACACTCTATACAATAATATTCACTTTACTCACCCTCTAACCTCCTGCTCAAATCCTTTGTGAACACAACCTGCGCTAACTTTGATTGACAATAGCGACTAAGTAGGTCACACTTCTCTTTGGAAGGTTTAAAATCTTCAAGTTGGCCACGGAAATCTGCAAATTTTGCTTCATGTCCCAAAGATGATACATTTACGATGCGGCTTGGTGCTGATTTTTTTATTTTCTCTATCAGTAGTAAAGTGAGCAGAAAATGGCTAAGGTAGTTTACTTGAAAAATACTTTCATAGCCATCCTTTGTCAACCTGTAAGTTCCAGAAAGCCCTGCATTGTTTACAAGAATGTCCAGCCTCTCTTCTGTTTCATTGATGAGCTTAGCAAAAGCTCTGACAGACTCAAAAGAACCCAGGTCAAGAATCCTGACAACAACTTTATCACTTCCAGTCTCAGCAATAATGTCCCTTGCAGCATCTTTGGCCTTTTCCTCATCTCTGCAAGCCAAAATGACCCTGGCACCTCTCTGTGCAAAATCCAATGCTGTCTGCTTGCCTATTCCAGTGTTTGCACCTGTTACAATGGCAGTCTTGCCTAAACATAACAGCAATAAAACCCTTTTAAAATCAAATTAACTGTGAGCCTGTAAACTTGTAAGGAAAACTAGAAAGCTACCAGTCCATTGTGAATCTTACCATCAAGTCGTGCCTTGCTCTTGCATACTCCTCCACCAAAATACCACTTAATAAGTACTACCAAACAAATTGTCACTCCTATGACAGCTATCAGTGTTCTAGCAGTACTTTGGGAGATGAAATTGTCACCTTTATGACATCAAAAATTGAAACAGAAACATAATTATTTTGGAATACAATAAAACAATGACATAATCTAAGTTCTAATGCAATAACAAACTTCTGGAAACACATACCATACTGGTTTTGGAAATGTGACAACATTTGTAAACCAGGAGCTTGATTAAGTGAAAATGTTTCTTGCAACAACCGTACAGTTGCAGTTAAAAGTTTCATACTTCTGAGCTGAGACCACAAACGAATTTCACTGCATTTTGTGCAAACTACATCATACATTCCAGGTGACAATGACTACAAAGCAGTCTTACTTATAAGTACTTCAGCAGAAGGCTAATTTTAAGGTAATAAAATTTAATATCCAAATAGTTTTATTCTTACAGGGCAACACAACTTAACACTTTGGTGTAAGATGCAAAACTAAAATTTCAGGGGGGTGGGTCAGAAGGGAGTTCAACCAAAAGAACACTCTGTAAGGGGGGGTATGGATATTTTCTGGAACAATCTCAATCCTTTAGTGGATGCATTTGAGCACTTTGCAAAGGTCATATGTGCTTTTTAACCTCTTACTGTCTAAGCCAGCTTTATGTAGAAAATTGCAACTTTTTCCAAGGCCTTGTTTTTCAAGGATGCTTGCCAGTAGCAATAGAAATTGAGTCAAACCAAGTGAAGTGTACCCCTCAAGAGTATACTAATGAATTAATTATTTGAGAAAGTAATTAATGAATTGATTTTTTTAAATATTGAACCTGTTAGCTGTATTCTTGAAATGACTAGTGGATTCAATATTCAAATAATCAATTCATCATCTTGAGGGGTAAGTGTCATTTGGTTTGACAGGTACAATCTTGTTATGTGCAAGAAAATTGAAACCACACACGACTGCTTCTGGAATTTCCCCTTGCTTTACAGTGTTTCCAAGTTATTTGAGATCAGAAAAGAAGAAAACCAAAGTTCAGTATACGAAACAACTTTGTTTTTGACTCAGTATTATTTGGTGATGGACAAAACACTGACCCCCAGTCCATGGACTACCCAAATGGATTACCCTAAAATGGACTAACCCTAAGAATAATATTCCAAATGATTACTAATCAATGTTCCTAGCTACTAGTATACTTAAACTACACATAACTTCCGCTTATGTTCATCCTGTACAGCCTCTAGCCACCATTTTGAATAATTGTACTTAAAATAAACAACTGCTGAACACAAAATGGTGAGAAAAGCATACTCAAACCAAATTTCATCATATGATTATCAATGGCTGTTATCAATCAGAGGTACCAGTCAGTATCAGGATCATACAAGTGTAAACATAATAACTTGAAAAGCCATTGAAATGTGAGTGAGGAACCCAGTCTAATATTTGATTTAGGAATAGCACATTACTAAATGTAAATGTCACACAGTGATTTTCAGTTTTATTCCATGCGATTCAGTCAGCCACTACACATGCACAAGCTAAAAGATGACAAGATAGGAGATGACAAGAATAATGGCCGAATAGTAAACCTTCCAGAAACAATGCCAAATTAACAAGGTAGTCCGCAGAACATTCAGTTCCTTTCCATCTATTTTAATAGCCCCCAATTGTTCCAAAATAATTTGCAAGCAAATAGCCTGAATCTGGATGTTTACAATGTATTTGAGAAGAACACTGGTTGCTGTATTATGCTGGTGTTATTATATTATTTTTAGAGTTGTTAATAATCCTTTTTAGGTAGGCTATTTGGGTGGACCATGGACTGGGGGTCAGTGTTTTGTCCATCGCCGTAATATTCAATGGTGAAGAAACTTCAAGGACTTTTCAAGGATGATATGGATGGAGTTTAAGGTGGGGTTCACGAACTTTTTAAGAGTTCTATCCAAATTCAAGAACTTTTAAGACTGTACAAACCCTGTGAATTTAGGTCGTTTTTAAATACCCACTGTGGAGGGTACATATGACCCAGCAAGATCACACCAGGGTGTATTTTGTGCAGGCTTCACCGAATCTACGGCTGTCTTTGGCATTTTTGACTATAGCTAGTCCTTAACCTTTTGGCCCATTAAATCGGGCAGAAAATGGTGCATTGTGACGACCTCGATTTAAGTGTGAAGCTAAGTTGTAAAGGCTTAAAAGTGTAAGCACCGTGCAGTGATAGTAAGCTTATAAGCTTAAAATGGATGTAAGCTGTAAGTTTGAAATGCCGGTCTACCCCATGAATAGAACACAAGTACGAAACCGGTACACTGTACGCATACTCGGACAAATTCACTGGAAAAGAGGGACAGCGTCTCCTTCCGCTTCAGACTCAAGGGTTTTCCCGCAGCGTCGTGCGGCATCTGCAGCACAGGGCATATACAGTACAGTGTGAGATCGAATGAGACATCTAAGCATAAGCGTTCAATTCATAGAAATAGACCTACAACAGTGCATAAAAATATCATTAACATTACAACAAACCTTCTGCTATCTCTTCTCCAACGGCCACTTTAAGGCAGCAAGAGAGCGAAACGAAAATACCGCTAAGAACAAGAGTGACTACCATATTTTTAAGATTGGAGGAGAATGACTCAGCAAATCAGGGCGCTAAAATCAACGCCCGGCCTTTCATCCCGGCCGGATGGCGGGCCGCAAACGATCCCGGGAGCGGAAATGATCGCCTTGCCAAAACGAGGAAAGATGCATGTGGACTGAGGAATATTGGACAGTGGATTTAAAATTGATGTTTTTTTTTTGTTTTGTTTTTTTTTAAATAATAATGCAACTGTTAATTCTAGTACAGCCTCAACTATAGGGAACGCAAGCGAAATTTACAGTAACTGTCAATGAACGATTTGAGTGCAATGTAACAGACAGGTTACTTATAAAACTGAAACACATACTTATTGTTACTTTTATCATTCTATGACCTAGATCGACAGCCCCCTCGCGCTAGTAAAATCAGAAACTTATAAAAAAGGGTCTTTCTCCCCCATAAAAAACTTTAAGAAAAATTTAAAACAGCTCTTTGTGGAGCCGTTCAAAACGGATCTTTTCAGAGCCACCACAAAAACATAAGTGCAGGTCAGTCCGTTTGCTTTGATTCCTTTGTCACTGTTTTGTTAATAGGAAATTGGCAATTACTAAAAATGATATTCAAATCCTGGATTTGAATAGCTGGATCCCACATACCACTTTACTTTAAGTCTGTTTTGGAGTTTTGGAAAAGCAAATGTCAGCGAAAGTAACCCACGAGCCTTGAAACCATAGTGTAAAGAGTATTAACCAAAAAAAGAGAAATTTATTGGATTAAGGCCGCTTAATGAATAGGGAACTAATGGTATAAAAATACTGTTGGCTGCTCAGCAAAGGAAGGATATTAATGGAATCATTATGGTAAGATAAAACTCTATTGTTGATCAGATGTCATTGTTTCAGCTCTCTCCAGTCAACCTCTCACTGAACATCCCACAACTTCTTTGCCAAACCAAGATCTTTGCCATATTTTTTTTTTCTTTTGCAATAACTAAATTGAAACAAATAAACTAAAAGTTTGAGTTTCTATCATACCACAACAACTGGGAATATTATAGCACTAATACTACAAAGATACTCAAAATGGGCTATTAACATAATGACTAAAACTAAGACATATAAAGATGCTAACACATATAACATAACATAATAGCCTTATTTCGACATGATAAGAGTTAAAGCTACAAAGCTTGCAGGGTCGTGTATACTACTGAACTAAAATATATTAATTGAAACATATACGTTTTTTTTWAAATTTTTTTATTATTATTATTTTTTTAAATATATTTTTATTGCAAAACACAGGGAAAAAAACAACTTACAGTTCAACTACTTACATTACTTATGGGACAATTACCTACATCACTTACTGGATAATTACTAACAATACAATTACTTACATTACTTACACTACAATAAGTTACATTGTATTAATCAATTAATTAATTAATTAATTAAAAAGACTACTTACTACTCACATACAATACACGTTACTTACAATACTAACAAGTGCAACACTTGCTAAGGTTGACCTACAGTACATGAAACATATACATGTAAAATACTAAATATGAAGCTAAGTCAATCTAGGCTTAAAATATTAATTTAATTTTCTAAAACTACATGTAATCACTATCTTTATATCGGGACGTGGAGGCAGTTGCACTGTTGAAAAGAAAGTCTTTAAAAAAGTAATACTCCTTGGTAATGATCGAGTAGTCTTTTGATTTCCTTAAAATTTAATCTATCTATTTTATCAATACATCGTACAATTAACTAAATTCCAGAGGGCTGACCAGGAAAGGCTAATGAGTCTCTCATTAATCTACACCTCAGGATCAAAGCTACATTCTGACCACATAATGAGTAAGAACTTTCTCAATTTCTAAAATAAGTAGTATAAAAAATGTGCCAAGAAGATAAAGGTGGCGAGTTAACTAAGTTATAACTGTATTATTATCAGTTTTAATTGTTCCAGCTTTCTCCAGTCAACCTTTCACTAACATCCCACAACTTCTTTGCCAAACCAGGATCTTTGGCAAGTGGATTGCACTCCTTGACTTGGCAATCACTGTAGTAAAGCCCTGTAATACCTTCCAGCTCTTCTACAACTGAACAGTAGATTGTTGTCTGTGCTCCCTGCTTGCAATCTTTGAAAAGCAGGAACATCAAGAGCTGTACTAATGGTTTCATATAGGGTTTGTGCAAAAGCTTCCAGTATCGCCAGATGTCAGACTTCACAGCACCAGGATGAAGGGCATATACTGTTACTCCAGTGCCTGAAACAAGAGAATTAAAACACTGTAATACTAATTAACGGTTAGCATGCGGGACTCTGGACCAAGCAATCTAAATTCAAGCCTTGTCTGGGTCAATATGTTGTACCTCTCTCCACCCAGGTGTATAGAGCGATCTTTGCTCGTTACATGTAATTAACATATGAATTTGCAAAGAGAAGGCATCATGCTCGATGCAAATTTACTCCAAACATTTACAGGGGTTGTGAAACTTAGAACAAGTAACTGATCAAATTTTTGGCTCTTTGCAATTGGGTGTCATAAGGAGGAATTATCTGCAAAATGTCTGGGTGATAAAAGTGCTAATGAGCTCAAACATTCTTTATAAAATTTTGTGTTCTTAAACCTGTCACACAAAAAGTGTCCAGTTCCTAAATAAGGATAGTTAATCATGCCATGCCTTTTTCAATATTCAACTGATATTTTTGCAACTTGATAAGAGACTGAATCATTTATTCTAATGAGGTAAATATTGTAAACAAAGGTTCCCCTATACATGTAGTGCTTTCAACAAGGCTCACACTTGAATAAGATGGTGCCCTGGTGAGTTCTCCATCACAGAGCAGTAAAAAAGCCCCATAACAACTTTCTCCTTAGGGTTAGGATTAGTTTCAGTTGGACCTGGCCCACTAATATAAACTTGAGTAGTTTGAATTCCCTATTAATTTGACTCAAAACAATTTGTTAAATCATGGATTTGCCCTACAGTCATTAAGGCTATTTCAATTGACCAGTATTTTCAAACTATTTTTGTTTCCCATGAGAGTTAAAAATAACGGGGTTCAACTGTATCTCCTACAGCACCGGCCATTCAGGTCACTAGGCTTGAATGTGGACAAGATTAATGCTATATATAATCATATGACAATAAGATTATAGTTAAAACAATAATAATTTAATTATTATTTTTTGGGCATTAAAGATTATTTTAAATAAACCTCATGAAACATTAATGTAGTTATAGACTGTTCAAAGATGTTCTTCACCTAACTCACCTTGTAATCTTTTGCTTAACTCCTTGGTAAACACAACCTGTGCTAACTTTGACTGAGCATAGCGAACAAATGCGTCAAACTTGTCTTTGGAAAGTTTAAAGTCATCAAGTTGGAAGGCTGCACCTTTTGTGGTGTGTGCTAGAGATGATACATTTACAATACGACTTGGTGCTGATTTCTTCAGTTTCTCCATCACTAGTAAAGTGAGCAGAAAATGGCTGATGTAGTTCACTTGAAAAATACTTTCATAACCATCCTTTGTCACCCTGTAAGATCCAGCAAGCCCAGCATTGTTTACAAGAATGTCTAGCCTCTCTTCTGTTTCATTGATGAGCTTAGCAAAAGCTCTGACGGAATCAAAAGAAGCCAAGTCAAGAATCCTGACAACAACTTTATCACTTCCAGTCTCAGCAATAATGTCCCTTGCAGCATCTTTGGCCTTCTCCTCATTGCGGCAAGCCAAAATGACCCTGGCACCTCTCTGTGCAAAATCTAATGCTGTCTCCTTGCCTATTCCAGTGTTTGCACCTGTCACAATTGCAGTCTTGCCTAAACATTACAAAACAACAGAACAAAAATATATTGATCACTCATCCTGGTTTCCTAATTTAACAGACTAAGCACTCCACTGTCTTTGAAATTAACACAAAAATTGGGCTATGCATTGCTTGGCATTTGATTTTAAAAATGTTCATCTAGTTTCAGTTGCCATCTTCTCTTGAAAATATCAATTCTCTAAAATTGTGTTTCATTTTTTGCTGAAAATGTCACTTTTTGGGGAAAATTCCCTGAAATGCTCACTAGGCATTTTTTGACATAAATAACAATTGAAGATTGAAGTGCAGCCAGGATAAGA